TCTCCTGTTATCATATTGATAGTGATGATAGCTTGTCATCTGCATACCCTCCTGGTGGGATGGTGAAATATGCTGGCAGTCACAGACAGACTCGTAAAACTGTCTCCCTCTCTGACTAGCTAGAGGTAAGGCCACACAAGGGTTTGTCTGATTGTCAGGCTTGTGATGTTTTCAGGGCCAAGTCTGGATTAAATGCTGCCATTAGGTCAGCAGCCGTGACATTTGCATGCCCACCTATTGTTATGTACTGTCATTAGCATACAGCACCATCTGACACCGGTGCAAAGGCATATTCTCAGTTTGCTCCAGTGATAGGCTCTTGTTTTTTCCGGTGTGTGTTGGTTTGTTCACAGCATAGCTCAAAAAATAATGAATGGATTTTGATGAAATTTTTTGGAGCGGTAGGGTATGGCCCACGAAACAATCTGTTAGAATTTGGTGCCGATCCGGATCATCATCTGGATCCAGGAATATTTAAAGGTTTTTCACCATTTTGAGATATGGCCATTTCATTATTCTTGGTTCTAACTCCATGATGCCTACGATGCTTGGACAAAAACTGTACAATAACATCCACTTACAGCAAGATCTACCACAAACTAAAGTTTGATCGGGATCAGTAACATTCTGGATCCCCTGATCAAATTTATAGGGCTCACAGAAAACCTGCTACTATGACACAACAAATAATGCTACAGACTTGCAACTAAAATCAACTGAATCAAATAACTGAAACTCTGCTGACTCAGAAGGTTTTCAAGTTGCTGAGCTAGATCCTGAAGAAAACCACCATTATTAAAATATATTTTTTCCTGAGTACCTTTCAAACTAATGATGATAATGATTCCAAAGGCCAGCGGTAGGTTTTCATGGTCAACAAGCCATATTATGATGATCAAACTATGATGGGAATCTTGCTTTTAGGTGTAATGACATTATAGGAAGGTTTGCGCTCTGAGTGCTGTCTAGTTTATTCTGAATTTTGATTAAAAAAAACAGTTTGATGTTGCAGGATCAATTATTTCATAGCACAGTATTAAAAAAAACAACCTTTTCCATGAATATTGGAAGAACTGAGAAGAGGGGGGAAAAAATCAAATTGACTTTCAAAATAAAAGCTTGGCAGTGAGTAACAGAATCAGACCAATTTAAAAACCATATAACATCAGCATAACTCATAACTTGGTATCTATTTCACCTTTGAAAATAAAGAAACTCTTTCTTGTTTTAGCAGTTGGTTGTCACACACACACACACACACACACATTATTCATTAATGCTTTCCCTTAGTCTTAATGTACAATCCAAACAAACTCCATTGTATTTATAAAGCAAACGTTCCTGTTCCAGTTTTCACAAGTGCTGGCATGATACAATGACAGAGAGGGGCAAAAAAACAAAAAATAAAAAACTGGCAGATGTCAGAGAGCCGGGTTGTCAGGGGGGCACGGGCCTTTTGGCTGTGCAGAATGTGTGGAGGCCTCAGACAGGGAGGGCATCCATTGTGTGCTCTGTGATCTCAGCCACTTGTTTCTGTTCTTTTTGTCAGTTCCAGTTTCTCAAAATTCTTTGCAGCAGCCTTTCACTCTCCCAACAGGGTAGTTGACGTGAAGCTGCATTCAAATCCCACCCCACACACTGTTGTTTGTTTACTTGAGTTTAATCATGCAAGTAAGCCCTGATTGCCTCAGCAAGTTCTGGAATGTTGATGTGATGAGTAGTTTTTGCACAGGGCAGATAATGCGATTTACCCAATGGATCCTTACAGCTGTAGCATGTATCTGGTATTTTTCCATTTGTTCCTCAGAGATTTAATCCAGATTGAACCACTGACCTTTCTCTTCTTTAAACCTCTAGGTCATCACTGCCCTTTTGTCATGTATCTTTTGGTTGTGATTTTACATCTGTGTGGTTGCTTTTAAATGTTTGACATCGAAAGCAACTCAAACTTTGTTAAAGTAGTATTTAGTAGCTAATGGTTAATGTGGCTAATGTAGTGAATCCACACTAGTGAGTTAATGATGGACTTAGATTTTTCATTGCTCATTTTCGTGCTGCCACTGTCCTGCCTTGGCTACGGCACATGCCTGAGATTTACAGCTTTAATCCAGAGCAATTTAACAGTCACAGAAAGCAGCTTCTGTCAGTAAGAGTTCACATAGAGTTAATAAGATGGTTGGCTTTAGCTTAAGCATCACCCTGACAAACGTAATAGGTATCTAGCACTCTGCGTGTTCTCAAGTAACAGTTGAAGTGAGGATGTAAGCTTGTGTACAGAGTGTCCATCTAGTTTACCAAGAAAGGCTTGGTTCCTTTGTGTCAGCGGGAGTGCTGTGGAGGCTGACCTTCCTCAAGGCAAGAGGCAGAGATCGTGATATTTCTCTCTCTTATTTTTGTCTTGTTTTGGGATTCCACCCATCTTATTTAGATCAGCGTGACAAGCAGCAATGAGGGGTTTGGAGGTAAATGGGGCTGATGGTATGTAATGATTACAGTGATCATCCTGTCATCCATCGCAAGAAGAGCCTCCACTTTCATGTATGTCTCTTCTTGGGCTGTTTGCGATCTTTTCCACTGTCCTAAATACTCAGCAGCTGCTGGTATTTGTATTTGGAGCAAGTAAATACCATTTCCTCCTTATGAACTAGGTGTAGTGAATTGATACTGCATGTATTTTAAGTACTTTTGGCTTGTTTTTTAGCCTTGAAAATCAAAAACCCTATTTAGATATATTTGTTAAACTCTTGGCTGAGGTTGCCATTAATGTTATAATGCAAAATAATTCACTCACACTTTCACTCACTCCTCTGTTACCCAGCTTAGCAGGGCAGAAAGTATAGTGGCAAGACGAAGGACAGAGACGGATGATGAGAGCAAGAGAAGGTCAGCCATACTGTACAAAAAGGTTGCATCTTGGAGGGCAAACTTCAGTTTACCCTCAAGAAACCTCATCCAGCCAGTACAGAACCCTGCAAACAGCTCACTTCATTGATTGGCTGAGACGAGCCCTAGCAGGATAGAGCCCGTGGTGGAGTGACTTTAGCTGTTCGTGCTGACAGTGGTTGACAAGGGCAAAGAAAAACATGGACAGTGCAGTCTGACACTGATGCACAATCCTCTACAGATGTTGCACTTCCTGTGCTTAAGAAAAACAAATGTTTATATATTCTGCATGTTACCCGGGTTTCTTATTTAGGTATAATGCTATTAAGAGCAGCATCACACCTTTGTATTTATACTAGTCAATATAACTTTAATTTCAGAGTAACTTGGTTTTGTGTGATGTTGGTGCTTTTTGTGACATTAGCAGCAGAGCGTTCTACTGGATTACAAAATGTATTCATTAGCAAGCTACTGCTAGCTTCAGACTGGAGGCCTCATTTTGTACAGTTTGTAATTTAGGTAGAGCACCTTTAATTTAAAGATGCAGTTACTTTCCAAGAGATTGTAAATGGTGCAGTTTTAGTTTCAAAGTTAAAACCGCCATTTCACAGACTTTGTCATTCTCAGCCACCTGACCTTCTTTCATTTCTGCCTCTTAAAATCCGTGACTATATAAGCACCATTTGTTTCCATTCCCTGCATTCACCTGAGTGTCGCTGACCAGCTGAAAAGTAGCTTATCACAGGCCACATCAGTGCTAGCCTTGCAGAGAGAGAAATGTGTGCAGGGGTGAAAGTAAATGAGAACGCAGACAGGAACCTGCTCAATGAAAATAATATTACATTCCTTTTCTTCACAGTAAGCCTGGTGCCTCAGGGTGCACTGGGATAAGCCTGTTCTTGAGCAACAGCAAGAAAATCTGGTGAAGGCTTGTTGGAGCATTGATTCAAATTGTAATGCAAATGAAAGTGCAATGATTTAGGCAGGGTGTGTGACAGAAGTAAAAATGCAGAGCTTGGCTTGTGGTCGCCAAACACCGTCACTCGAATATAAAGGACAGAGGACAGTGTTCACCTCAGCAGTCCCTGTGTTGCCCTCAGACAAATGACAAAAGCATGCTCTATACCAACACAGGTTGCTGAGCCGATGGAAAAGTACAGGACATTGTTGGCACTGATTATGTCTACACACCAGAGAATGCACTGTAAAGTCAGAGGTCATTGAGATGTGCCATCTAATTTCCTCAGTAATAGTCTCTCACCATGATAGCTTGCACTAAAGTCCATATTTGACACATACATTTGACTATCCCTGTGGGCTGTTGCTATGGTGATTCTAACACCTGTGCCCTGACAGTATGGTGTAGCAATCAGCTGTCAAGTTCCAGAGTGAGATCTCACCTAAATAATATGTCAAACCTCTGATTATCTGTCACAGCTCAGTATGGACACACATTACACAGGAGCTCTACTTTCACTGATTCCTTTTGTTTGTTACCAATTAAAAGTTCAAATCAGACAAAAGGGACTTGTAAAGGCCATGAAATACAATTTACCATACAGCATCCTGTGCTGTAGTAGAGTACATGTGGGTGCACTTGCGTATGGTGAGATAATGAACAGATCTTTTTCTCATTTTGCTTCCTACTTGTCCACCTACAGCAAAAGACGGGTAATCTTTGTCTGCATGTGTGGTGGAGGTGGGTGCACTTAGCTGTAGTTTAAATATACGCAGCTCCTGTTTCCAGGGGTAAGTAGCGAGTGTGAAAGACGAAGCACATGGAGCTGCAGAGAAAATGATGATCACGGTGTGAGACGGAATAGAAAAGGCAAGACAAATTACCCTGGAGCACAAATGTTAACTGTACTGCCTTTCAGGGTGTTTTGACCTCACTTTGTTTATGGTCTGTGTCACTGTGCTGTTCACCCATCACATCTCACATCCTTATCATACCAGAGTCATTTTAAGTGGCTCTTTGGTGTATTGCTACTGTCACCTATATACATATACTGTATAAAGGATCTGAATGCTGCTTTCACCAGCACCTGTGAATATCGAAGTAGGTAAATGAGTTTTGTACCCTTCTGAATAACCTGTCATTACCCTTTTTCCTTCAGGTTACCTGCCTGCAGGACTTCTTTGGTGAAGATGATGTGTTTATAGCCTGTGGCCCAGAGAAGTACCGCTATGCCCAAGATGACTTTGTGTTGGATCACAGCGGTAAGGCTTCTACAGCCTTTATGACTGGTAGGCCTCACTAAAACTAACTCAACATCCGTCTTCTCTGTGCGCGTGTGTGTATATATATGTTCGATGCTGTGTCCTTCCCCATTGTTCTTCTCTCACACACTCACAACACTCTTTTCCTTTGGGAAGTTGACAGAAGAATTATGACCCTTTTGTTACATGAGTCTCCTTGAAATTTCATTCAAATTATTATAATCTTGATAGAGGAAAGATATTTTTTTGTATTTGAATACAGTATATTTAGTAGTTACTCCAGTCCATCTACGTTAACACATACATCTTTGCTGTCACCTAAGGCAAAGAGTTTGCATTCATTGTTTTAATGAAACTTCATTCTTGTGTGCTTCTTTTGTGTTCATGTTCTCTACTGTGTACAGATGTTATGCACACCCTCTGTTGGGTATCATACCTTAATCTTGCTGACAAAACACTGAAATCTTGAGAGCACATGAGTGGGATATGACCTCTTTAAACCAACAGAGCCATTCACTGTCGTGGCTGCAGGGTACCTGAGCCAATATTTGACAACCTCAAGGGAAGGAAAGGGAGTTTATTTTAGTAACAATGCAAAGTATTGACATCCTGTTTAATATTTAGTTCTTTTGTCAGGTTGGCTAACAGAATCCTAACACGGTCTGTGTAAACTGCTACTGAGGGTAGGTGATAGTGGATTACTTGTATTCGGGGGTACTTTGGTGCTTTTGTCCTACTTACACTCCTGTGCTCCACTTTCAAGAATTAGGTCTTTGACAGAACAGAAACAGCACAACTGTAGCTACTCTCTGCACAGAAGCTGCTCCTCTTTGGGCAAAATAGGTCTGGTACCCAATCTACCGTTGACACGTGAAGGAATAAAGATGTAGAATATAATCTGTTATACTGTCGATCACGCAAAAGGCACAAAACATCAGCTATACAAGTCATTAGTTTTTGTACTCAAAGTTTACTAGTTTAGCTTTAATCAGAAAGTACCAATAAATATTTGCATGTAAAACATATCACACAGTGTTTGTGTCCAGTAATCCTTCATCCAAATGGAATAAACCAGTTGTGGAAATGTATCGGTGCTAAACAACCAAAAAATGTAAAACTATACAAGCTGTGTTCTGAGCACAAGAGCCTTCAAGTAGAGGGATAAATGCTGGGACTAATTCTAGAAAAGACTGTTGATGTTTCATATGTACATTGTACTATACAGAAAACTGCTTTGAAAGAAGTATAGACACGGGCTTAATATTTAATCATTGGCTGATTTATGCGCTGCCTCAGGAGAGCTTAGCTGTGATATCATGACATGCTTGAGTACCCGATGTTTGCCACCATTCTTTTTTGCTTCTCTGTCTCAATAAGAAGCATTCATGAAATCAGATTGTATAATATCACTTCTAGGATCACATGCCTGGTACAGCACGAACAATACCATCATGTTAACTCTGTTTTGAGAAGAACACGTTTGTTAATGGAGGAAGGTTAATATATGCGATGTTGACCCTGAGCTTGTTGTCTCTCCAGAATGCAGAGTGCTGAAGTCATCGTACAGCTGCTCTGCTACTCCGTACCGGACAGCCAAGAGCCCCGAACCTTCACGACGCAGCAAGTCCCCTGGTGCAGGTGAGACATGACTGGACATGCGCAGACTGGTAGAAACGGTGTAGAAACTGTCTGCATCGGGCCTGTGAAGTTAAGAGATATTCCTCTATATTTGAAATAATAAACACTTGGTGACACAAATGGAAAGATTAAGTATTGCAAATGATTACGTTATATATATATAAAAATGGGTTTCACACGTAAAAATAATCCTGTATGTCTGACCTAAAGTAACAATGGAAGTACACTTCTGGTTGAAGCGATATTGGAGTGGCACTGGTGGAAGATCAACTTGAACGTGCACTATGTTGTGATATGGTTTGACTCATTCTAGCTGCCCGACTGTTCTGGCTTTTTTTCTGCCTTTGTCACTGCAGCAAGGCGAACTGTCCACTACTCCACCAGTCAGTCTCCAGTCAAATCCCCAGGTGAGGCTGGTGTCACACGTTTTGCCTTGACAAACACCTGCAATATCATTTTGTTGTGGTAATTAAGCACAAGTCATTGAAATAATTCTCAGTTGAGTATAATTGGTCACTATATCAGTAGAACACTGTCATTGTGGGGTAGGTCTGTCAGTCCAGCAGAGTCCAGAGAGAGAGATTTTGACAACTGAAAATGCGAGATACAAAACGTTTTGTTGTAGCCCTAATAATGTGACAAAATGTCCAGCAGTTGTTCCTACAGACCTCAAACTCAGAACACAAACTGCATAGTTGAATGCTGAGCAGTCCAACAATGTAGCACTTGTGCTGCATCCAGATCATTCAGACCGTGGCTACAGTATGTGGGGCAGAACCTTTCCCATCAGCCTCCTGGTTGGAATGTTGAATTGGAAATATCAGGAATTGTTGACTGCTAGCAGCACTGGTTATTTTTAGGTAACAACAACAACAACAGTCTTTTCTATTAAGTCAACTTTTTAAACACAGCCAATGGTAAGCATGTAAAAATACCTAGCACTTCTTTTACTTTTGTGTTAAATGAATGATACAGCAAAACAGGGAGTTTTCATTTTATTTAAAGAGACATTTAATTTCTTTTGGCCTTTTTCTTCTCCCTAGCACTCTCTAAGCTGTGAACCTAGGAAGTGCACATACATGTATATCTGTCTAATCAGAGAACCAGCTGCTGCAGATTCCACTGATTTTAAAGCCGTGGTCTGTGCTGGACACATCGCTGAATTTAAATTTAGAAAGATCATAGTTTACCTGTTAGCAGAAGAAAGCCAGCTTTGAACAAACTCGGTCACTGGCGAGCAGTTTTATGCAAATACACTTATTTAAAAACAAAAACAACCTCA